ATCATTATGAAGTGTCCCTCAGTATCTTTCTTTACCTTTTTTATTTCGAAGTCTTTTTCGTCTGATATTAGTACCGCTACTCCCGCTTTTCTTTGAATGCCATTTGCTTGAAATGTCATTTTCCACCCTTTCACTTTGAGTCTGTATTTGTCTTTGGAACTGAGATGTCTCTCCTAGAGGCAGCATATGGTTGGGTTTTATTTTTTGATCCAATCTGCAACTCTGGGCCTTTTTATTAGTGAGTTTACTCCATTTACATTTAGGGCGGTTATTGAAATATGAGGTCTTCTTACAGCCATTTTATCTTTTGCTTTCTGGTAGCTCGGTGTTTCCATTGCTTACCTGTCCTAGCGTTTCTGTTTTCTTTATTTAGCTTGGCTTTTGTGCATTTTCCCTCTGATTCTTCTTAAAAGTTTTAGGTTATATACTTCAGTTCTGAATCTTTGGTATGCGGTTACAATTACAAATATGAAAAGGATAGTTACATATATACAGTCATCCATTTTCTTATGCATATGCCTTATCTCCTTTCCCCTTTGCGAATTTAGATCTTTGAATCCTCCCCTTTTCAGTCATTGTTGTCTCAATTTGTCCCTGTGTATGCTGAACTTTCATTACTATCTTGCTATAGCAATTCTCTTATTATTTAAGCTTACAATGCTCTGTTCTTAGTATGGATTACACTCCTCTACTTCTATTTGCCTGATAGTCACTCTACTCCTAATTAAGTATGGGTTTTTTGGTCATTTTGTTTTAGGTGAGCTGACCCCTTTCGGTAATTCCTGTAGTATAGGCCTCGTAGTGGAGAATTCCCTCAATTTTTGAATGTCTGGAAAGGTCTTCTCTCTTCTTCCTTTTGATTTATTTCTAGATTTCTGTCTTCAAGATCCTTTCCTCCATTTGGTCGACTCTATTTCCCAAGCTTGCTATTTCATTTTTCAACTCTTGCAGTGTGTTCTTCATCTCCAGAAGTTCTATTTGGTTCTTTTTGAAGGTTTCAGTCTCCTTGCTCTGCTCATCTAGTTGTGTTTTCAATTCCTGAAATTGTTGCCATGACTCGTTTCAGAACTCACTGAGTTTTTTCAGAAGTACCGTTCTGAATTCTCTGTCATTTAAATTGCATATTTCTATGTCTGTAAGCTTATTTTCTGGAGATTTTTCTCTTTCTTTCTGAGATGCCTTGTCACCTTGGTTGTTCATGGTGTTTAATGGACTATTTCTCTGCCTAGGCATTAATGGAAGTGTATTCTGCTGTTTTTCCAGAAAGAAGATTTATTATATTTAGCCTGCTGCAAAGAAGGCACTTTTCTTTTGGTTTCCAGTAGGTAGTATCTAAGCCTCTTGGATCTCTGCTTTATATAAAACCTTAAAATTGCCTTTTTAAAAAAATTTTTTGTGGATATTTAATCATACTTGCTATCTTCAGTTTCCTGTCAGTGACAGTCTCAGCAGCATTTGCTCAGATTCCCCTGGGGCTCCACGATGTTCAGAGGGTATGGGGAGAAGGGCCCTCTGGTTTGGGAGTTGGGGGCTGTGGCTCAGCCTCATTTTTGCAACTGGGGCTGATAAAATCAACTGTTGTTTCTCTGCAGTCCCGTCCCACTTCTCTGCTTTCTACCCTGATGCCTGGGCCCTGCCACTGGCTGCATGGAACTCACAGCACTTCCAGGCAGGACTGTTCAGGGAAGTCACTGCACCTTCTCCCCCTCCCCCCTCCACCCCCTCCTGCTGGGAGCTCCTGCTGCTGCAAGAGGCAGCTTCTTTATTTCTCCCAGTCCACCGCCCGACACCCGGGGTTGTGACCTGTGGTAGCTCTTATGCGCAGATCCCACGCTCAGATGTGCTGGTGTGCAGTTTGGGTGTATTTTGTTGAGTTTTAGACGTTCAGCTTATTGTTGTTTCAAGGGGAGAGATCTAAGGACGTTGCTCACTCTGCCATGTTTTTGGAGATCTCAGCTCATTGTATTTTGATTGACGTTTCCCTAATAGTGATGTTGAGCATCTTTTCATGTGATTATGGACCACTTGTATATCTTCTTTATAGAAGTGTGTATTCAGTAGTCCTTTGCCTATTTTTTAATTGGATTTGGTTTTGTTGTTGAGTTTTAGGAATTCTTTATATTTTTTATCAGATATACAATTTGCACATATTTTCTCACATTTCATGGGTTGCTTTTTCACTTTGTTGATTTTTGTCCTTTGATAGGAGTTTTTAATTTGATGTAAGTGATATTTTTAAATGTTTCGTTTCTCATTAGACTTTTTAATAATTGATTCTTGCTTGGAAGGATTTGGTACTGTGTAGTAATAGTGATTTTCTAATTCTATCTTCTACATTTATTAGTTGGTTCTACAGTAAGGGAGAGCATTTTCTTCCCTATTTATCCTTACTTATTTGACTGCCCAAATTGTCCCTGTTAAGTTGGTCCCTTTTGACATGATATGTACCTCTTTTTTTTCCTTTGCATAATTACTTAGTTTGTGGCACAAGATGTTCCAGGCTCTTCTTATTTTAACTCTTTAGCAGTCCCGCAACTGGCCATTTCTCAGAGGAGAACTGGTTTCTTTTAGTTGGGTAATGCAATTTAGAGACCCAAATCTGAGTACTGGATGTGCTCGTTGATACTGGGGTATATGTGCTTCTGAGGCCTTGAGTGGACATAGATAGATAGGAAATAGAAATATGTAAGTAAGTAAATAAAACAGACAATAAATAAAAAGTAAATATTGTATGTCATATAGTAAACCTAACATATGTGTCCTGAAGTACCACTTATTATATACAATATACAATATTTATATTGGAAATCATGAGTTCAGACTGATTCTTCCAGATCTAGTCTATCCCCACAGGATTTTTCCTTTACTCCCAGCGTTGCGTATTTCTATCTTTCTTCTTTAAACCTCTAGGTCCTCTCTCATCTGTTCAGTCCTACAACATGTGAAATAGTTTCTGAATTACTAGCTATACCATACCACTAATGAAAACAAACCTACTAATAAGAATTTAAGGTTTTATTTTGTATGCATTTTTTCCCAGTGACCCCTCCACACCCCCGGTATAGTTAGTATACCATGTTCAAAGTTACTTGCAGTAGTGTTTTTTTTCCCCTTCTTTCAGTGTAGTTATGTTATTCATTTGAAGTGCATTTGGTTTCATTCGATTGTATTTATATTCAATTTTAGTTTTTTCCCTCCAGCCTTACTGATTTAAAAAAATTTTTAATATACAGAACTTTAACATGCTTCCTAAAGTCAAAACTTTACTGAAAAATACACTCAGGATTGTTAATCCCTTCTTTATTCCAATTCGTTCTTTCCCGTCCTTTGAAAGTAACCAATTTCTTTTGTCGTTTTTTTGAAAGTAACCAATTTCTTTTTATCTGGTTCTTCTTGTGTTTCTTATTGCATAAATAAGCAGATACATGAATATTTTCCCATTTTCCCCTTCTTTCTCACACAAAAGATGGCATGCTATCTATAATCTGCACTTTAGTTTTCTCATTTCAAAGTATAGTTTGGAAATTACTTTATAGCAATTCCAGGAGATCTTCCTAGAACATCTTTTTTTTTATATAGCTACCTAAATGTTTGGGCATTTAGGTAGTTTCCAATATTTTGCAGTGACAAATAATGCTGGCATAATTAATGGTTATTTAAATTTTAGTCCATTGATTTTACATTGAGACGATTTGGTTTTTTTTGTATTTGCCTGTTTTCTATTAAATATTTTTATAAGTTAAACTTTAAAATAATTGTATTTATCTTTTTTAGCTTTTACCTGATGACTCTTTTCCTATCAACAGGTAGATTTAGATGTTACTTTACCTGGGGAAGGTGGAAAAGATCGACCTTTTAAGGTGTCAATCAAATTTGTCTCTCGGGTGAGTTGGCACCTACTACATGAAGTCCTGACAGGACGTACCTTGCCTGAGCCACTGGAATTAGACAAGCCAATCAGCACTAATCCTGTCCATGCTGTCGATGTGGTGCTACGACATCTGCCCTCCATGAAGTGGGTGCTTCTGCCTTTTTTTCCTCTTTAGATCTTAACTGTGAAGGCGTTCTTCCCAAGAGTTGTGCAGGCCTCCTTTGGTTAACCTTCAGATGTTGTATACTTTGATTATTTCAGTTGTAGAATAGTATGAATACAAGTTCATTAACAGAAGTAAGTTACAGAAAATTGTCTGACTTTTGAAGGTAAATGACCTCATTAGCTTAGCTATTCTAATGGATTTTTTTTTTAGAAAAATGCCTTTCTCTTAGGAGCTATTAATCTTGAGTAACTGATATATTTTCAGATATATTCCTATAGTTAAATCACTTTAATTTAAAGGTAATTTCGTTGTTTATATATAGTATTGAATTGTGTTGAAATTGCTGCTATTTTAAACACACTACTACTTTACATGTGTATGTGTTTTTCTGTGCTTGTATAGGATCATATAGGCTGTGTCTTTTTAAAGAAAAATATTGTCTTACAAACACATTTATAGAAATAGCCTTTTGATCAATAATTATTTAACTCTTGTATTTTCTAAGGTTGGAACTCTTAACTTTTTAAAATCTTTTTTTTTTTAAAGTATTTTAAATAAAAACTTGTTCTTATTCAAACTAACATTAGTGTTAACAATAGAGAATTTCCATGAAGGATGCTGACTTTTTTTCATTTAAAATGGCTGTTTTTTGCTTTCAGAAATTTGGAAAATTTTTAATTTCATATATTCATAATAATAAGCATCGTTATGATAAATTATGTGGTGTAGACTTACCTGTTCCTGCAGATTTGAATACTTACATGGGAAGGAAGGATTCAGTATGCCATTTTAATTTTTGTAGATATACGCCTGTGGGGCGTTCCTTTTTCTCAGCTCCAGAAGGATATGACCACCCTCTTGGAGGAGGCAGGGAAGTATGGTTTGGATTCCATCAATCTGTTCGGCCTGCCATGTGGAAAATGATGCTTAATATTGATGGTAAGGAAACTGTAACTGTGTGCTATATTGGGTAGTTGATTTTCTTATGGCTGGTGGTTGTAATTTGTGTGTGTGTGTGTGTGTGTGGGTGGGTGGGTGTGTAATTTGTGTGTGTGTGTGTGTGTGTGTGTGTGTGTGTGTGTGTGTGTTCATTTTATGTGTAATTATATGTGCTGGTGTCTTAAAGTAATATATGAACATATATTAAGACAAACTGGAAAAACCTTTATATATATATTACATTTCATTTAAAAAGCATTTACACAGAACTTGTCCTGGTTTGCTGCTAGACATGAAGTAAGCACATGAAAGCAAATATAAAAGCTTTGACATGATCATTTGAACAGTCTTTTGTTGTAACTCACTTTCGTTCTTTTAACTCTTAAGTCAGTATTTCATTATGAAATACATGTTTTACAGGAAGAGAAGTCTGTTGGACCTGGTGACCTCTGGCATTATGCCTGCTACTGATGCTTAATGTGATGTTAATTACATTCTCATGTTTCCTTATGTATATTTTTGTGCTCATATAAAAGCAGAATAGTATGATAAACTGTCACCTATGTTGCTCTTAATCACATTGTCAGGATTTTTCTACCTTTGCTTAAACTATCTACATTTCTTCCTCTATTGTAATATTTTTATTTTTATTTATTTTTTTGAAAAACACTCATTTTAATGTTTTAAAAGACAGACAAAAAACGATAGGCAAAGGGAGTCTAGACCAATTAGAGGTAAAGCAAGTGTAACAAAAATTAATACAATACAGTGTTTTGCCCTCATAAAGGAAATTTCAGATTTCAGCATGTTATTGTAATATTTTTAAATCAAATCCCAGAGAGCATGTTATTTTGTCCCTACTGCTTCAGTATGAATCTCTAAAAATATGGATGCTTTCTTACATGGTCACAATGCCATTATCATATATATAAGAAAATTTAAAATAGTAATTTATTTGTACCTTCTGATATCCTGTCTATAATCAGATTTCCCTAATTGTTTCAAATATGTATATTTTTAGTTAGTTGGCTCTAATCAGGATCCAAACAAGATCCACACATCACACTTGGCTCTTATGCCTTTTTTTAATGTAGTGGTCCAATTTCCTTTCCTCTTGTTTTGTTTCTTTCTTTTTTTGATGCCATTGACTTTTTATAGAAACTCTGTCACTTGTCCTGTAGAATATCCAGAAACCTGGATTTGCCTTTTCTTATGGTGTCATTACTTTGTTTCTCTTTTCTCTATATTACCTGAAAATGAAAGTTTGCCGTAGACACTTGATTCAGTTCTGATTCAGAATACTTAATAAGTGCTTCATCTTTTATATTAGACATACAATATCTAGTGGTCCCATTTTTAATGATGCTAAGATTGATCAGTAGGTTCAGAGATCAGCAGGCCTGATCTCTTCATGGTAAATTTCTCAATTAACCTTTTAATTACTCATATTCCATTCATTGATCATTATTACCTGGACTATTTATTTCATTAAGGATTATCAACTCTTATTTTTTCTAATTCTGCTATTCTTTTTGCATTAGATGGAATTCTTAATGTGGAAAATCACCATGTCCTATTGATAATTCATTAGTCTTTGATAGCTTTCTTGCTTTCTGACATAGCAAGACATTCCAGGCTCATCTTATATTTCTTACTCTATACCTGGAATCAGCCATTCTTCCAAGGATCCCTGGATCTTTCCAGATCAGTACATAGGTTCCTCGTTATTTTCAGCTGCATCTGCCATTGTGGGGATATGTCATTGAGGGGATGTATTTCAAAAGTCTCCTTCAGGTGTATATACTAGGGCTGTTTTTAATTATTTGCCATTTCAGAACATTTCATATACATGTAAATGTTTCTTGAAGATAGATTCTAGGAGTGAGATCCAGGATCAAGGATAAATATATTTGTAATTTTGATTGTTATTGCCAGATTGCCCTCCACAGAGGTTGTAAACATTTTGCATCTGTGAATGAGACTACCTATTTCCTATGCCTTTGCCAGTACAGGTGTCAAACTAGATTTTTGCGAATCAAATTTGCAAGAAATGGTTTCACTATGTATTTTTATTTTCCAATGACCATATTTTCATGTATGTAAAGGCTACCTATCTCTTTTGTTAACTGTTTAAGTCCTTTGCCCCTTTTTTGCTGTGTGATGTTTGGTCTTCTCATTTACTAGAGAGCTTTCTAAATTAAAGAGCTTAGCTCTTTGTCTGATGCGAATTACAGGTACTATATATCAAGTTGCTATTTGTCTTTTGGCCTTCGATATGGTTTTTTGTTTTTGTTTTTTGCCACATAGGAATTTATCTCTTTGTTGGTGTGTGTGCGTATCTATCTAGACACACACAAACACTTATATGTATTGGTCAGTAATTTCTTTTATGACTTTTAATATCTAATAAGACTGGTCTCATTTTTCTCTTTAGAGTTTTCTAGGCCTTTTTTTTTTTTTTTTAACATATAAGCTTTAGAAACATCTTATCTAGATCCAGTGAGTGTGGGAAGATGGGCTGTTATTTTATTGAGATCTCATTATATTTATAAATTTAGTTAGGACAAATTACCATCTTTAAGATATTATATCTTTCTGTCCAATAAAATACTACGCCATCCCATTTGTTCAAGATTACTTCTGTCTAATTCATGAGTGTTCTGGTTTTTCTCACATAATTTGCACATTTCTTATTGTTATTCCTGGATATTTTCTCCCCTATTTTTGCTGTTTAATGGGTTTGTAGATTCTATCTGGTTATTGTTCATGTACATGAAGGCTTTTAATTTTTATATACTAACTTTTTTCTCTCTGCTCTATTGAATTCCATTATTTTTTATAGTAGTTTTTCAGGTGATTTTCTTGACGTTTCTAGATTATAATGATTTCATCTACAGATAGTGATTTACCTCTTCCTTTGGATTTTTACATATCTCATTTTTTCTTATCAGGTTATATTGACTAAGCAGGACAGTATTAAACATTAGTGATTAGTGAGAGCATCCTCTTTTTATTCCTTGCTTTAGAGGGAATGCTTCCTATGTTTCTGCCTGAAGTATGATGCATACATATATGTATAGGAGCATCTGTTGTCTGCTGTTTTTATTAAGTGCTTTCAATCAAGAATGGATTTTGAATTTTCTCAGATGTCTTTTTAGCATCTGTGGAGCTGATGATATATTTCTCTTCTTTTTAACATTGAACCAGACATGTTTCTTGATTCTTTTAATGTGATGCTGGATTCTGTTTGTTAATACTTTTAATTTTAATTAAACTGCAAAACTAAGATTGATCTGATCTGCAGTCCTTTTTTTTGTATAGACTTTTTCAAGTTTTTGTATTAATGTTATATTTTATAAAGAATTTGCAAGTTTTCCATTTTCTTGATTATATAACAGTTTTTAAATAATATTGAAATTATCAACTCTTTTAAGATTTGGTAGAATTTCCTTATAAATTTGTGGCCCGTGTGTTGTGTTTTGTTTGGTAAGTAGCTCTTTTAAAACTTCTTGCATTTATTTTGCAAAAATAAGTCTGGTTAGGCTCTCTGGATTCAATTTTGGTAGGTTAGATCTTACTAGAAAATTATTTATTTTATCTGTATTTAATTTATTTGTATAGAGTTTTACAAACTAGTTTCTTATTTTTTGAAATTTTATTTATTTTCATACTTTACCACCTTTTCTTATTTTGTGTATTTGTACTTTGTCCCTTTTATTTTTATTCTCGATTAGGAGAGATAGTTAATCAACTGATTGTTTTTCTCCCAGCAAAATAGCTTTTGAAATTGTTTTTTAGTTCTCTGGCTTTCTGTTTTTTAACTTCTTAATATCTGCTTTTAGCTTTTATAAATGTTTTCCTCTACTTTTCTTCAGTTAATTTAGTTGTTTTTTAAGCTATATTAGTAATCATTCACTTTCATTTTTTCTTATTGATAAAAATATTTAAGACATTGAATTTTCTTCTAAAGATCACTGTTTTAGCTATATCCCAAAGCCTCTAATATGTAGTATTTTCATATTTTCTGGAAACACCACAAATTTTATTTGTCTTACCCCTATTAACCAAATGTTGTTTGAGGTACTTTAAAATTTTTCAGATTGAAGATCTCTTTATTTTCTGATTTTGTTATAAATATCTCATTTTATTGTGTTGTTACTCAGAGAATGTAGTTTGTATTTGTTGAGGTATTTTTTGTAGCCTAATATATAGTCAATTTTTGCAAAAGTTCAATACTATTTGTAAATAATGTATATCCAATTATTAGGGTACAGTTAAATGAATATCAGCTGTAACATTTTGATTGGGCTGTTTACATCACTTATTTCCTTATTTGTTTTTGTTTACTTGTTCTCTCAGACTGAGAGAAATAAATTTAAATTTACTATTATTATTATGTTTCTGTCTATTTCCTCTTATATCTCCTGTAATTTCTGCTTTCTTAGTGTTGCTGCTATGTTATTGGGAGCAGATATATACCTGTTTTCTTCATTGTGAATTGTACCTTTTACAGTAGTAAAGTGACTTTCTTTTTATATTTTTGGGTCAAAGTCTACATTGTTCAATAAAAGGATTATACTCCGTGGTTTTGTGACCCTTATCCAATCCATTAATTTTTCATTTCCTTTATTTTTTATTTTTTATGTTTTCTGAAATATAAATGCATCTTGGTGACAGTATAGAATGGTTTTGCTTTGCGGGTCAGTCCTTTTTTTTTCTGTTAATGGATCAGTTAAGCCAGATAGGTAGGATGAACATACATGTTTGGCGTCAGTTGTGTCAAATTATTTTGTTATGTTTTCTGAATATATGTGTTTTTTTAAACTAAGTGGCCTATTTCATGTTTTTTAAATGATAGTTTTGATATTAGGAAGGTTTTTTTTCCTACTAGTGGTTACCGTTATACTTAAAACTTCATGTAATACTCAACTTTCTCTGTTTTTTAAAGCAGTCTTTCATTTTCCCTAATGAATAACAATTTTATTATCTTTATTCTCTTC